TTATTTGCAATGCCAGTGGAATGAATATTCCTGCAGAAACCGTGCTAAAAGCAGCAGTTGACCCCCATTAGGCCCACAGACACCATGGAATTCATAATGAGGCAATTCTGTGTATTTCTCTTTGACTATCTCACTGAGGGAGGAGTCGATGGGCAATTCATCCTCTGCTACTAGAGAAGCATACATTTCCTCTTTTCTGTGGGTGCTGTTATGGTGATTCCTTTCCGCCCATGCCCACTTCTTCACTCCTCCCCTCAGCCCTTCCCCCAAACCCCATCGGTAGAAGCAAAAGGAAAAAACTTTTCCCAGCATGGCTGATTATATTCACTGAAAAAAAAAAAAAATGGAGGGGATGTTGCTCTTTTAGGGGCAGCAGACAGTATCGGAAAGTGGCCATTACATGCAGTTTAATATTTTAAAGGCATTTAGAAAACAAACTGCAGTGTGATCTCTTTAACACTGGAGAGAACTAGGGAAATATATGGCATCCAGTCCCGGCTTATTTAAAGACCAGGTTAATGCTCTGCTTTTGCAGAAGCCTAGCAAAGCTCAGTTCGATTTTTAATAATTTATATTTCCAATTCATATTTGTATACATGCCTGCGTGCCCTCCACTGAAATCAAATAAGCAGAGAGGTAGGTTTTTCTTAGTGAAGGAATTGGCTGGGATGGGCAGGGTAGAGACAAAGCTCCCTAGAGGCCGGGAGCCTCCCAACTTTGTGCTTTTCCAGAAACCCAGCCCTGGGGCGAGGCTGTGGGGGAGTTGCCACAGGGGTTTCCCATTCTCAGGGCTGTGATTTCTCTGGGCTGTCACTTCATCAGTCCATTGGCCACAGTGCAGATGGGAATTGTGTGTCTCCTTGGGCTGTAGTTGTAGGTTTCGCTGCACATGCAAAATGTGGAATGATCTGGCCACTGTGTATGTGGATGACTAGTCGCCCCTGCCACCCACCACCTCTGCTGGAAATTGCATTTTCTATCTTGCCCTGTTTGCTCTCTGTAACTGTCACCCACCAGAAACTCACAAAGCTTATCTCCTTCAAGTTCCTCTTGATAAGAGATCATGTTTAGGTGATTCTAGTCATTTCCACTTTCATAAAGATTTAAAGTGTCATTAAAAAAAAATGCCCTGAACACATCAAGTGTCTATGAGAGAGCCTCAGGACACACACATGTACACGCAGCACCACGCCCCTAGTACAGAAGCAAAGTGCTACTATTAATAGTTGGTGTTAACCATAGAAACCCAAGAATCGAAACCTAGGCTAAAGGGCTCTCCTTTTTTTGCTGCTTTAAAAAAAAAAAAGCAAAAAGATTTGCAGTGATATATCCAGTGATGACTATCTCCTAGTTGAGGAAGGGTCCCTTGACAGTAGTTATGTGTATCTCTGAGGACTGTAAGGGGACAGTCACTTGTCGGTTGTGCATTCCCATGTGCAGCGGCGCACTCTGATGGAACAGAGGGCAGAGGAAGGAGAGACTGTTCTCTAGGAAGCAGATCCTGGAGATTCTTGGTGTGCCTGTGCCCACCTGGTGTGGTATATGTCTGAGAGAGCTGCGGCAAAAATAAAAGATAAAAGATAAAAAAATAAGAGCCAAAACTCTTCTTTTAAAATGGTATAGTCAAGAAAAAGTGGTGGTGCCAGACTTGGTGGCATGAACCTATAGTCACAGCTACTCTGGAAGCTGTGGTAGGAGTCCAGGAGTTTGAGGCCAGCCTGGACAATATAGCAAGACCCTGTCTCTACAAAATATAAAAAAGTTAGCAGGGCGTGATGGTGCACACAGTAGTCCCAGTTACTCAGGAAGCCGAGGTAGGAGGATTACTTGAGTTCAGGAATTCAAGGCCTGCTTGGGCAACATAGTAAGACCCCATCTCAAAAAAAAACAAACACCTAATAAAAAAAAAGTGCTACCTAAGACTGGATATTATGAAATCAGACCTGAGAAAGGTCTAATTTCTTATCAATTCCACTTAGAATCCCCTCCTGTTCATTCATTGACTTATTCACAGAGTCATTGGGCACCTGCCAGGTACCAGGCTGCCATGTGCCGGGCTCTGTGGTAGGTGCTGGCGAGGCAGTGTGTGTGCCTTCACTGGGCTTCCAGCTGGTGACCTTCATCAGGCCTGCTTTGAAGAAGGGGGTGATGAGAAAGAGAAGGGCAGGACTAGGCACCAGCTTTGGGAGAAGGAGTTAAATTTATTTTATTTCTTAACCAGAAATTCATTGAGCACTGGATGAATCAAATGAGTGGGTGAGTTCTTTCTAAGCCTGAATAAATACTCAGGCAGAGCCTTCATTCAAAGAGAGCTGATCAGTTGCTTCCTTCTAGCCCATTATAAGTTACTTTGCTTCATCTTTGTGCTCATTTTTCTCTTGTTGTTGTTATTTTAAGTCTATGATTTAGAACACGAAATTGTTAGCAAAGAATTTTGTAGTTTCCAAGTGTTCCTAGACTTTAAGGTCCCCAAGAGCAGGGTCTATTTTTTTTTTTTTTTTTTTTTCACTATGCTGCCCGGGCTAGAGTGCTGTGGCGTCATCCCAGCTCGAGCAACCTCAAACTCCTGGGCTCAAGCGATCCTTCTCCCTCAGCCTCCCGAGTAGCTGGGACTACAGGCATGTGCCACCATGCCCGGCTAATTTTTTTTTCTATATATTTTTAGTTGTCCAATTAATTTCTTTCTATTTTTAGTAGAGACGGGGTCTCGCTCTTGCTCAGTCTGGTTTTGAACTCCTGAGCTCAAACAATCCGCCCGCCTTGGCCTTCCAGAGAGCTAGAATTACAGGCGTGAGCCACCGCGCCCGGCCTCTATTTTTTTTAAAATCAGCATTATTTGAGTATGATCAATCTATTGAATACAATAAGCTGCATATATTTAAATTGCATTATTTGATGAGTTTTGACATTGGTATACATCGTGAAACCATCACTGCAATCAAAACACAGAACGTATCCATCACCCCCAAAAGTTTCCTCATGCCACTTTGACTTCATGCCTCCCCCTTCATTCTCAGCATCCCTAGGTGATCACTGATTTAATTTTTGACACAAGAGATTAGTTTGCATGTTTTAGAATTCTAGAATAAACAAACTTATACAGCATGCACTCTTTTTTAGACTAGCTTCTTTCACCCAGCATACTCTTTTGACGTATATTCAATTTATTGTATCAATATCCTCTTACCTCCTTGCAGGTGGGCATCCACTCTAGTGGGCTTTGGGGTTGGTTGAGGTCCTTGGGTGGCGTATTCAACTTGTCTGAGCTGCACTATTCTCATCTGTAAAGTGAGGAGAATAACGCCCGCCTCACAGGACAGACAGTGTGGCATGGAATGAAATAACGTGATCACTGCCAACTGGAGTGTCTCAACTGCTGTGTTCTAGTTTTCTCTTAGAGAGAGGAGGAAAGAGAAGGAGAAAGGGTAAAATCGTAGAGTGCATTTGCACTGCAGAAGGAAGAAATTGGGGATGTGCTCCTACACGGCCGCCCTGTTCTCTGTAAAGCAGCGAGGGGGGTAGTCTGCTGCCGGGGCAACTGGAGTGGGAGGGGTTGGTGGTTCTGATGGCACCGGGGGTGTCCACGGAGGCCACTGTGTTCTCTTCTCCAGGGACACACAAAAGGACTAAAGAGCAAGGGCCTGGCTGGATGTGGAGAGGTCAGCTAGGATTGTTCTGTGACCTTCTGCAGCCAGGTGTGAAGGGAATAGGGAAAGGTGTGGAGGAAACTGGAGACAGACCGTGCGATCCTAGTGTGTGTGAGTGTGAGTGTGTTGAGAGACAGCGGCAGTGTGTGAATGAATATGCACTGGAGAAATGGCAGCCAGGGTGGTCTAGTCACTGGGAGCTGCTGATGGCTTTGGTGAGTGGGGCAGGTGTGACAGCCCTACGGTGACAATGAGATTGCAGAGCAGGTTCCTGGGACCAGGGTTGGGAGCCCAAAGGTCGTGGCCAGAGGGGGGACTCCAGAGTATTAGATAAAGCAATTTTCAGTGACGAGGGCCAGGGCATGGCTGCGTCACCCCAAATACAGTGATGTTCTTCCTCTCTCTACCTTTCCTTCTATTCTTTATCATATGAGTAGCTACCAAAAAAAAGTAACCTTAGTCTTTATACAACTTTTTGGGTGGAATGTATCTGTTAATATTATTCAGCAAACATTTTTTATTTCTGTATTTGTTTGCAATAATTTTTAATGGATGCATTTTATGAATAATATCTTAGTACATACTGCTTTGTATTAGTTTGGATTTCTCCCCAGGATAAATTCCCAGGCATGAGATTACTATGCTCCAGGGTGTGGGTGATTTGGGGGGGTGGGGTGTCTTGATATGCCATTTGTTAATGTTGCAGGTAGATCTGAGGGAGTAGCGAGGGAAGGCAATGGGGAAGAAAAGTAGAGCATTGAATGATAGAATCCAAATGGAATATCTAAGAGTCCTTATGTGAATACTTAAGTCCACCTTGCAGAACCCTTGAGTTCTGTGTGCTGCCTTTGCTGCAAGACACCTTACAGTGGGGGGGAGAGGGGAGAACATAGCTGGCTGGAGTTTGCGTCTATGATTGAGTAAATGGAGTTGTGCTTGGTTTGGTGTTCAATGCTTCCTTTTTGGGGTCTATGCTCAAGAATTTGAAGAAGTTGAACAAAGTGTATGTCTGGGCGGGGAAGGCAGCAATATGAGGGAGTTCATTTGTTGTAGAGTTTTTGGGGGGCAAGGACAGAACAATTTCATCTTGAGAAATTAAAAGATTTTTTTCTGTGAAATGTAAATATAGTTAAAAAAGAAATTAAAGGATTTATTCATTTTGATAATGACCAT